TTTTTTTTTTTTTAAGGCAGAGATCCACTACTAGAATTTAACAAATTCTACTTGTAGTTCCATGCTATGCTATTTTTTTAAAACACATAACAATTGAGGTAAATGGCAGGACTATGAGATTTTTTTTAAAGCATAAAATACTCAGAAGTTACACCCATAAAAATTTGCAGCCAGCTAGAAAATGTTCTGTGGCCATAGCGTGGTCCTTGTCATCTCAGGAAGTAAGGTGTATTGGGGAAAATGTGGACAAACCAGATTCAGAGCAAGTAGAAGAGCTTATGATAACAAACCCATCAGCAAGGGGGTCAGTACTAACTCAGCAGCTTGGAGTTCAACAACCCAGTGCGGTGTTTGTCCTTTCAGAAGATAAGACAAGGTGAGGGTAAAGTGTGGATGACCCTGATCCAGAGCAAGAGAAAGAGGAGAAAGGGCTTGTAGGCAGAGGACTCACCTACCACTGAGATCTGTAGTAACTGCAGCTTGGATGTTAACAAGCAAAACATGAGCAAACACCATACACTGTGGAAAGTAAACCAGTAGAACCTGTTCAAGAAAGAGGAACCAAAGGCATACCAAGTTTCAAGGACTTCACCTAACAAGCAGATTCCTAGAATTACCACTGGAGGAAGAGGATGTCATCTTGGTGAATATCATGAACTCAGAGTGAACTCAGCAGAACATAGAACAGGTTGATGAGTAAAGAACAAATGATATAACTCCAGAAAATATTATCATTAACCAATTTCAAGTGAGATCTTGTCCCCAGTGTGTTATATATTAACATCATATTAACCCTATCTAGGACTGGCTATAGAATTTGTGGGGGGCCCTGTACAAAAAGAAAGAGACCTCCTGTTCCTAAATCATTAGGAATTTCAAGATGGCAATAGCAGGGCACTAAACTAAGTGCAGGGCCCTTCTAAGCCCGGGGTCTTGTGCGTTGACCAGGCTGCATGCTCATGAAGCTGACTCTGGCCCTATTAAAAATGAGTGGAAGTCAGAAGTTTTGACTTTACTTCTACAAAGTGAAGAACTGCTTCAAATGTCAAGTGAGATATATATATATATTTTAAGATTTTATTTATCTATTTTACAGAGAGAGAGCACAAGCAGGGGGAACAGTAGAGGGAGAGGGAGAAGCAGGCTCCCCGCCGAGCAGGGAGCCCGACACGGGGCTTGATCCCAGGACCCTGAGATCATGACCCGAGCCGAAGGCAGAGGTTCAACCATCTGAGCCACCCAGGCGCCCCGTCAAGTGAGATATTTTTTTTTTTTTTAAAGATTTTATTTATTTTTTTGACAGAGAGATATATAGAGAGAACAAGTAGGCAGAGAGGCAGGCAGAGGGAGAGGGAGAAGTAGGCTCCCCGCCGAGCAGGGAGCCCGATGCAGGGCTCAATCCCAAGACCCTGGGATCATGACCCCAGCCGAAGGCAGCCGCCTAACCAACTGAGCCACCCAGGCGCCCCAAGTGAGATATTTTTAATGCAATAGTATCTTTACCACAGTATAAAGCAATCACTGATTTAATTATACTAAATATGAACATTACGATTGAGGATTAGAAACACCTTAACCAGTGAACAACTGCTTGTCAAGTCACTGATATGTTTTTTTTATAAGTTGAAACATTTTAAAAAAGATTTTATTTATTTATTTCACAGACAGAGAGAGAAAGAGCACAAGCAGGAGGAGTGGCAGAGGGAGATCCTGACTTGGGGGGGGCGGGGCAGCAGGGTGCTGGATCCCAGGACCCTGGCATCAGGACCTGAGCCAAAGGCAGACACTTAACCGACTGAGCCACCCAGGCGCCCCAACATAATAGTTTTTAAAACCATTTTATTTTTTATTTTTTTAAGATTCTATTTATTTATTTGACAGACAGAGACAGCGAGAGAGGGAACACAAGCAGGGGGAGTGGGAGAGGGAGAAGCAGGCTTCCCGCTGAGCAGGGAGCCCGCCGGATGCGGGACTCTATCCCAGGACCCTGGGACCATGACCTGAGCCGAAGGCAGACGCTTAACAACTGAGCCACTCAGGCGCCCCAGTTTTTAAAACCATTTTAGAAAAGCTTCTGAAAACCCACCAACAATTGAAGGAACACCGTGGAAGTCTTGAAGTTAGGATGGTAAATTGACCTAGATTCTTGCCTCTTATTCTTTTTGATGGTTGTCATCAAACCCCTCATTCCATGTTAAAAGAAATTTTCCCCATGGAAGGAAAAGATCCTGGGCTTGGAAATGGGTGTAATAACATGTGGCTCTGCATCATCCCCCTTTTGGGAAGAGAGTAAACATGTTTTTGGTTGTTAATGAAATGTCTGGACTATGCTTTCTGCTTATTTTAGTCAAATAGTTTTAAAATTATGAAAAATTCTGTATACTAAAGTATAGACTCTATAAAGAATAGTGAACACCTACTGTACTACACTTCTCAGCTCTTAAGAAACAAAATATTAAAAATATAACTGAAGCCATTTCTTCCCCTTCCCCCAAATGTAATTCTGAGAACTGCAGAACTTTCCACAGATAACAACTGTCCAAACCTCTGCACTAAGAGACTTGACCAAACTCTAGCATGGTTTCCAGCAAGTTAACACCACGTCCCTAGGAGGACTCTAGCCCCCCACGGGAATCCAGCTCCTCATTAAAATGCCTGATTGAGAAAGTTCAGCTGCCAGGAGAATTCACTCTTTGTTCTAGCCAATCCTGATGATAGGTTTCTGACCTCTCTTTCTTGGAGCATTTATTAGAAAGGGTTTACAACTGTGAATGTTTCTCTCACAACCTAAAAGTGTCCTTCTCAAGGATCTGAGAGTCCTTTCTTTGAAATGTAATCATCAGGAATGATAGGGCCACCGTCTCCCAGCCTCTGTAGGAGGATAGAATCCTAACTTCAAAAATTGCCAGCTAGCAGACACAGCTGGCCTAATCACAGTCACACTGGCTAACCCTTTGTAATTTTTCACTTCTCTGACTCTAATGAGCCCCCACTCTCCCTACTCCCTCATTCTCCCTTTAAAACCTCTAATCACCTCTGCACCAATTGGAACAGAGCTCAGCTCTTTCCCCGTACTGTCAGTAGTTTCTGAATAAAATCTGTTTTCACTGCTTTAACTAATGTCTGGCTGTATGAGAAATGCCATTCCAGTTTTTCTATCCTTCCCCTTCCCCTTCATTTTTAAAAGCACATATGCATCTATTCATAAACAGCATATTGTTTTGCCTATTTTTAACACCAAATATAAATGACACCATACCTTACGTAAACTTCTGCAATCTGTTTTGTCCATTCAACATTATATTTTTCCGATTTATTCATATTGCTACATGCATCTCTACTTCATCGGTGTTGGTTTCAAGGCTCGCAAAAGCGTTTCTCTAGGTCCATCCTCCTGAGCTTGTGCCCACCCGGATGGTAAAGGGGAGACAAGAGGCTGCTGCTTTGATGGTGGTGGTGTGGACCGAGCTTGCACATGGAGGCCAAGGTGCCCATACTTGTGGAGTGAACTGGAAAGGAAGTAGGGTGGGAAGAGAAGAAATGTGGCGGCTCTATTTGGGACTCCAGGAATTCTAGATATCTGAATTTGGATTTGACCTTCCAGGTTATTAGGAAGATACATATAAAAGTGGGAGGTTGGAGCATATTTCCTTTATTTTTAGCGCTTGTTTTCAAACAACTTCAACTTCAAACAACTTCCAAGTATTCAGGCACAAAGTATGCGGCCACCATTTGTACTTTTGACCGCGCCCCACAAATAGGGGTGGGCGTGACCTTTCTTACACCCAACTCTTTCCGCAAACCGAGTTGTTACAGCAGGAAATGACTAAAGTGTGGCTATACTCCTACCTTCACCTTCCCTGTGGAATTCCCCCCTCTCCAACTCTCTCCACTAGTTAGGACTCCCGATTCTGATTTTGTTAAGAAGGACGCCGAGACCTAATGAAGAAGCCAAATGGACGCTAAAAAGCGACGCTCACAAGGCCTTTCACCAGGTCACGCTCCCTCATCAAGCTCCGCCCACTCTCCCTACTCCCTCATTCCGTCCGGGTCCCCGGGGCATCCTGGGACATGTAGTCTTTGAAAGGGCAACAGCTTTGACTAAGTCTCCTCCCCCAAGCTGCCTTTTGCTCTGGGGATGTCGTGACGTTGCGTTCCTCCCGTCTCTTGCCTCCTCCCTCTTTCTTTTCCTCTCCAGAAGCTCAGTCCCAGACTTCCGAGAATCTTTTACGACATTGGGTCTCCGAGTCGGTCCCGGCGCCGGGTCCACTTTTCGGCAAAGTGACGTGGACGTCAACAGCAATGGCGGAAGGAGAAGAGGTTCTGCTAGGGCCAACGTCAAGCAGTGACGGCTGGTGAGTGAAAGCCCAGGGCTGATTCTTATTGCCCCTATATTCTGCCTTCTCACCATCGTGCCCGTCCTTGAGGCACTGGCAGGCGCCAGCGTGGAACGGGAAGACCCGTCCTGGACAAAGTCCACTGCCCAGCCCCGCCCCCTCTGCCGGCCGGGTCCTTTCAGCCAATTCGTCAAGCCAGAGGGGCTGAGGCCCGACTCCAAGGGAGAGGGGTGTCGTCCAGGTCCTGGGCCTCAGTTCGGTCCTCCTGTTTCGTTCACCGGTCCAAAACGTGCTGGAGAGGGTGGCTTCAGGGCTGGGTTTGGCCGGAATATGTGGCCCTGGGAGTTAGAGTAGGTTGGTTCGGAAGGAAGTTGCGTGGATATAGATCTGAGGCGCTAGAATACCATTTGAAGACAAGACACTTGAAATTACCACCGCAACCTTTGCCTGAGAGGTTGAGAGATACACCCAGGGAGGATCCCTCCCACAGAGTTGAGATATTTTTTATCCTAGTTTTTATTTCTTGTTTTGCATTTCAACAGTTCCCACTATTCGTCTCACACAAGTCGTCTTTTTTCTTCCGACCACTTTCCTCACAGCTCAGTCTTTACAGCTTTGGATGGTTTCTGGACATTGCTCTTGCTGCTCCCAAGCCTTTGCGTGCTTACCTGACTTACACTCAGGGTTGTGGGGGGGGGGGGAGGGACCTCCAATAATTTTCGGTGGACTTTAATCACCCAGTGTCGTTAATCTTTGGGAAAGGCCCCTACTTTTGAAATAGTTGATCTTTAAAATACATTTTTAGGGACAATATCATAAAAAAATATGAAACCCTTAGAGGCTTTTTGAATTTTTATATTTAAGTATATTGACCACATGTATTAGATAGTTTTAGATTTGCTTTTTCATCACATGACATGTATACAGCTCATGTAATAAAGCTGTTTGCCTAAAATTATACAGGACATTTTAGACATGGACTTTAATCCTTGAGAAAGAAATGGAAATCATTGAAAGGGATAGATAATATAGTAACTGAGAAATTCAACTTTCAATTAGCAGACATCCAGTATCACCTTAGTGCATGCATGTACTCTCCAAGGTGTAAGAGGAAAACTTACCGGTGACCTACGTGTAGTTTCTTTTCTCAATTTGCTTATATTGGAGCTGTGACAGTTACACTAAGTAACAAGGTAAAATTGATCCAGCTCTTTGGGAATGTGAGTGAGTGTTACGGGATTTCCGGGGTGGGGTGGGGTGGGGTGGGCAGAAGCCACTTCATTTGCAGTTATTGGAGAAAGCTTCATGGAAGCAAAGGTGTTTGAATTAGGCCTTGAAGAATCAACAGGATTTAGACTAGTGTTGTCCAATAGAAGTATAATGTGGGCCACATATGTAATTTAAAATTTTCTTTTTAAGATTTTTTATTATTTTTTTTTAATTTTTAAGTAATCTCTACACCCAACCTGGGGCTCAAACTCACAACCTGAAATCAAAAGTCACATGTTCCCCCAACTGAGCCAGCCAGGTGCCCCTATAATTTAAAATTTTCTAGTAGCCACATTAAAAACTAAAACAAAAAGCAGTTGAAATTATTTTATTATATCCCGAATATTATTTCAACATATCATTGTTATACAAAGAAACCAATTAGATAATTTTACATCTTTTTTGGTAAAAAGTCTTCAAAATTCAACATGTATTTTACCTTTATCCTACATCTCAATTGGATCTAGCCACATTTCAAGTGTTAAATAGCCACACATGGCTAGTGGCTAACATTGGATAGTGCATTCAGATTAACAGATGGGAAAGGCCTCTGAATGGAGTAATTGTGTGAGTATGGACATAGGCAAGAAAACTAATGATTATTTGGAGAGTGAGGACTAGAACTTCATGAAATTTGCTGTCTTGGAAGTGTGAATTTTTGTATCATAAACCTTCTCTGTTCAGCTTATTGGAGGCCATGAGAAATGTTTCTAGAGTTAAAGCATCTTTGAGAAGTTCTTAGGAGGATTGTGAATATGAGCCTGATTCACAGAGGCAAGGAACATGGAGCTAATGGTTGTTAAAGTAACATTTGTTCTCTTCTAGGGTTGTTGTATCTTTTGTGTGACCTTCAATTTTTGTTGTTTATATTTTCATGAATGGAGGATTTCCGTGATTTCTGCTCTCCTTCCATTCTCATGTAATCATTCTCCTTTTTCTCTGCTTACTCCAGTCAGGGGTGTCCCCTAGGAGTGAGTTTGAATACAATCAGAGAAGACATTTGGATTTGGAGCCATAGATTTGGTAAAGCCTCTGTTCTTAGACTAGTGAATGGATTGTTATGGAATAGGCAGGGTTTACTCTTTCCAAAAAAAAGTCACTTTTTTTTTTTTTTTTTTTGGAGAGAGAGTATGTGTGGTGGTGGTGGAGGGGCAGAGGGAGAGGGAGAGAGAGAATCTTAAGCAGGCTCCATGCTGGGCTTGATCTTTTGACCCTGAGATAATGACCTGAGCTGAAATCAAGCGTCACATGCTTAACTGACTAAGCTACCCAGGCGCCCCAAGTCACATTTTTATTGTAACTTTTTCTGAAATGTGTTATATATCTCGTTGCCTAACTGGAACTTAGCTCAGTGACTTAGGATCATTCAGTTTACAGATATAAGTGTGTAAGAATAAAACTAGGTCCCTGTCCTCAAGGAATTTGTGGTCTAGTTAGAGGAGGCACATTTAAGAATATCAATTACTATTATACTTCTGTATTATAGTGTGACCTATTTAGGCAGAAAGGGTAGATTGTTGCTATGTTAAATGGCCCCATACAACCATCTCTTTTTGAGATTGCTTTTTGTTAGTTTTTTTGTTTTCTTTCTTTGTTAGTGGTATTTCCCAGTTTGTTCTTAATCTGTGAAACTAGGTAGCTGACCATGTTAAAATTGTGTATACATTTGTAAAATGGCTCAGGATGGGGCCCAAAGATCTTAAAAGTACAAGGTGACACTTGCATATTTTCAGTTATGTTCCAGGCCAGTGCTTCTCAAAATTTAAATGTGCTTTAGAATTACCTGGGGATCTTGTTAAAATGTAGATTCACTAGATTTGCTTGGGACCTGAGATTTCTGACTGACTAGCTAATAGGTGATGGCAATTCTGCTGGTTCATGGACCGTACTCTTTAGCAAGGTTCTAGGTGATGTATAGCTCAAAATGAGTTGGCCAGAGGAATTTATCTCTATATATTACCTGCTATATTTTTTCCCCTAACACATTATGCTGTAATTTATCTGATTACATGATTTATCATTGCTGTTTACATAGTGAACTTCTCAAGGGCAGCGGCTGATAGCAGGTGGCTCAGTAGATGTTTATTGTCTGAATGACTTTTGTAAAATCATGTGCAATAACATACCAACCTGTCATTTCATATACATTTTCTGACTCCATTGTTTTTGTGAACTGTGTAATCGTATGCTTGTATGCCCACCTTTTCAGAAAATAGCTCTCTAACTTTCTGAAACTGCAGCCACATAAGCTCAGAGGGTGTGGAGAAATCTTTTAAAAATGTTTATAGCGAGTTTGAAATTATTATTAAAAAAAAATTTTTTTTTCTATTAAGTAAACTACTCCCAATATGGGTCTTGAGTTCATGACCCTGAGATCAAGAGTCTCATGTGCTACTGACTGAGCCAGCCAGGTGCCCGCGAGTTTGAAATTATTTAAATTTAAACAAGCTGTTGGTTTGTAAAAATCAAACAAATGTTAAATTTTTACAGTTCAGAGATTGATAATTACTCTTCTCGGTATTGAAGCAGTCAGCCTTGGATTTGAACAAAAGTTTCTCATTTTCTGAGGCGTTCTTTCTGACATAAGGCCTAAACATCTAAAGTCATAATTTAAAAAATATATTTTATATAGATACTAATTTTACAACAACGGTTGGTATCCTGAGTTTAGTTTAAAATTTTTGTACAATATTCACTTTATTTTTTTTAAAGATTTTTATTTGAGAGAAAGAGAGAGCACATGAGAGGGGGGGAGGGTCAGAGGGAGAAGCAGACTCCCTGCTGAGCAGGGAGCCCGATGCGGGACTCGATCCAGGGACTCCAGGATCATGACCTGAGCTGAAGGCAGTCGCCCAACCAACTGAGCCACCCAGGCGCCCCTGTTTTTAAAGGTAATTCCTAAATAATAATTCAGTTCTAGGATTTTGCTCCTGTGGATGTTAGTAATTGGTTTTTGCGTGCCAAAAAAAAAGTATTCAGTTAATTTATTTTCCTTTATTTGTACTTACTGTAAAGAGTCCAGGTGCATTCCCTATCTTAGAGGCAAGTCAGGTAATTCTGGAGCACCCTGTTAAGTATGCTGCAATACACAGCCAACTTACGAGTAGGTGTCTTCTGAACAGAATTGAGAAACTATGTGTGGCAAATCATTGCTGCTGCTTATGCTAAAATGTGGATTCTACTTGGTATAAACTAAAAACAGTGGCTTCCCTCATGTCTCAAAAAGCAAAACAGAGTTTAGCAAAGCATTCAGCAGACATTAACTAAATACTGGTTATATTCAAGCTGTTGTGTGGTGTTTTAGAAAAAATTTGAGACAGATTTAAAGCCAGAAGTTGCATTGTTTTCACTTGCTTGAATAGGATTATATAGCTTGAAAGGGGACAGTGCTTGAAGTAACATATTTAGATATTGAGAATTTTGAATGAAGAATAAATCAGTCCCATGTTAGGCTTACAAGAACAAATTGTTTCTTGTGGAAATGCAAGAGCAGTAAGTTAAGAGCCAATTAAAAAAAAAAGCCTATTTCCTGAAATTTCATGTATATTTGTTTTTAAGAGTCTGTCTAACCTCTGACCTGAGCTGAGAAAATGATCAGTAATTAAATCATTAAATCATTTGTTTCAAGTTTCCTCTCTTTTTCTTGAGAGTTAAAGAAGTTTTTTCTTATCCTTAAGCTGACATAGCATTTCATAGTTGGGTGGGAATGCTGTAGTGTGTGCTTTTCTTGCTTTAAAGCAGTTGTTACA